AAGGGGGGGGGGGGGGGTATTATCCACAGATCTTTGTCATCAGTTCTCGATTTTCGGTGTGGCGGCCCGACCGTAGGTCGTAACCCTCTTCGACATTTTCTTACGAGTTGACTTGGGTTTCTTTTTCAGGAAAACACATAAAAAAAAAAAAAACACAGAAAGACTACCCCTTCGAGACATAAACACAGTCGTTCGAGACATAACCATAGTCGTTTCTTTTCTGGACTGCTGTCCATCGGCATCCACTCGCTCTCAACAGCAGGGTTACGGTTGGCTGCTGTTGGTCAGGGTGAACCCCGTTTCGATGGGACAAGGTCGACAGCCTCGACATGTACAATACTATGCTTTAGCAGTCGTCTCTTGCTCGGACGACCACCGGGTCTCGACATGGACAGCTTGTGCAATAGATATACAAATACAGCTTGTGCATATCCCCGCTCTTTCGCTTCTTGGACTACATGTAAGCATGGAACGGCCTTTCGAAGGGTTAACTTCGTAGCACAGAAGCAGCACCACCAACAACAACAACAACAACCACACCAACAACTGTCTAAACACCCAAGCTTTTTGCACCAATGGCAACAAGGATCAAATACCGAAGCTTTTTGAACCAATGGCAACAAGATCAACACCAACAGCACCACTCTCTCGTAGTTTCGTGTACTACCTTGGCCGCGTTGATGAGCATGACGTGCGCGTTCCAATACCGGAAGCTGTGCATCCCAGAGTGCTCGCCTGGTGTGTGGACGCAGACGAGACACGGGAGGAGGAGGCATGACTTAAAATACAAACAAGCAAGAGCGAATTCGGAGCACGACGTCGGCCGGTCGAGAGGGTCCAAGAGACCGGCGATACGAGAGAGAATAGAGACACAGACGAAACAGCAGGACAGAACAATAAAACGAAAACGGGGGCAACAAAGGGACCCACCCACGCTTCCAATCCGTGTCAAAAAAAAATGGCGTGTGAAAACAAAAATCAACAGGCGCACCGTATGCCATCGTATGCTATCACATATCGAAGAGAGAACAGAAACGAGGTACAGCAGTATGGATACTCTCCGAACAGAAGTAAAACCCCAAAACAAAATGGAACTCTTGTACCGTAGGTTGCATAGTGTATCGCACCCCCTTGACCAATTTTCAAAGCTCGATTACTACACGACGAAGAGGATGCCGAAATCAAAGGATCCGTTTTCGAAAAGCTCACGACGAGACGCTCCCAACGCCTCCCGCCATTTTTCGGCACAGTCAGCGCTTTTCCTGCCCGAGTGATCGAGCTCCGAAAACCTGTCCAGGGTGTGTGATTTTCTTGTGCAACCTACGGTACAGCCTGGCTAACCAATTCTGAGTTAAACCCAGTGAAAACGACAGTTTGACACAATAGTGTCTCTTTACTGGTTCGTCTCCACATTCACCCATTCATTTTCGCTGGTGCCACATCTTCTTCCCTACAGCAGTAGCCCTCTCACTCCTCTCCTCCTCTCCTCTCTCTCTCCTCTCTTCCTCTCCTCTCTCACCCCTCCGATACTCGTGCCAGATCCCGAAGACGTTGGAGAGAGGCTTGAAGGGGGGAGGGTTGGGCTTGGCCCCTCTCCGGGCAGGCGGCTCCTCCGTCTGCTGCAGGGTGTACCACATCACCACCTGCTCGTCCCCTTGCTGTGTCGATGAGGTGGGCAGATCCTGCGCAGTTAACACAGCAGCAATGGGCCGGGGGCGCCGAGGGGGGGGGGGGGGGGCGGAGCCCCCCCG